AGAATATATTTTGCTTATTTTTGGCTGTTTTTTTGCAGATCTTTTCTATTTTAAGTAAGATATATACTTATTTTTGATCATTTTTATACAGATCTTTTTGTTTTTAGTAATTTTTTAAAACTCTTACCCCTACACAGGTTGCTCGGGATTCTGTTTTAATAGCAGATATAGAAGAGAATTAGTAATTATTAAAATAAATTTAAAAAGTGTACTACCAGTAGTATACTAAAGATTTTTTAAAATAAAATTTTTATAAATTTTTCTTAATAATTTTATTATAAACTTTAAAATAAATTAATTTTGGTTAAACTAGAAGATTTATTTAATTTTGTATATAAAAATTTTTTTGAAAAATTTTTTTGGATTTTTTAGAGCTTTTAATAAATGTACTACCAGTAGTACAAAGGCCTAAATCAAAACCATTAATTGAAAGTTATTTCGATCAAGAAGAATATCCATTTTGTCGATTTGTTTATCAATACGAATGAAATTATGATGCTAAATCAGAAAATATTTGTTATATTCAAGGTTTTTTCTGATTAAAAAATCAAATGCGTATATAATCTTAATTGCAGCTATATAATTAGTTGATTGATTTCTCAATTGATTGGTTTAACTAATCGGTTAGCCAATTAATCGATTAATCAATTAGTTGACATTTAAAAAGTTAAAAAGTTCAATCAATTAGTTGTAATCAACTAATCTATTGTGTTTAACTTTAGGAATTGTAACACTAACCCTCCAGGGTGTCATTTCGTAATAATAAGGTATATATACAGTTAAGAGTTGGTTTACAAAAAAAAAAGTATATATATATATATAAAGATTTTGAAATTCCAATAATCACGAATAAGAGTACTAAATTTTATATAATATACCAATATGTATATGAATGATTAAAACTTCAGATAACCATCTCTTAAAGATTATCTAAAAGAATTTTTTTAAATTTATTTTAAATAAACAACTTTAGCACAAGTTTCTTTTAAAACTATAAGCCTCGAAGTGTGGACTTGAATAAGAATGCAATTTACTTGAAATTAAGGAATGTTTCTATTTTGCATGGGTATATTTTGAATTAAAGTTTAGGTTGATAAATTTAAGACGTACCCTTGAAAAATAGATTGGGTTTAAAAAAAAATTGATTATCTTTTAGTCAAATTCTTTTAAAGACTACCGTATAGTGTTTCTTAAGAAAACGAAAGAAATTTTATTTATCTTAGTAAAATATAGCAGTGTATATTATAAAGATGATGGCATAAGAGTGAAGACCGCTTCTGGGAAGGATTTTCTATCTTAAGTAATAAACATTTTCTTATTAAGGACTGTTTGATTGCTAAATTGGCATAGTGTAAAAATTATTTATTCTATCTACTAGAATTATATTTTAATTCGCGATTTTTTAATATTTGCCATTACTCTTCCAAAAAGAACCAAACTACAAAATAAGGATAAAGTTCTATAAATAAATAAATGTTGATACTATGAATATATATATATATATATGATTACTGTAAACTATGAGTACAAATGTATATGTATAATTTATAAACATCAAAAATCACCAAAATTTTTTTCATAATATATATCACAACCTAATCCAATCCAACCTAATGCTATATGATAATGATAAAAATTACCCTCAAATAAAATATTATTTGGTACATAAACCAATGGTAAAACAGTCACTCTAAGCAAAAAAATGGGTATTCTTTTTGCTGTCTTCGTGAACTTGCATCTCAATCAACTTGAATTCATTTAATTCTTGTTTAATCTTTTGAGCAAGGAGAGGGGTGAGCTTGTTGCAAGTTGTCTGATCGCCTCGACGATCGTAATCGTCACGTGTCCAAGTTTCATGTATAAGAATATCTGAAGAAAATTGAAGTTTCTTCAAAGAAGAAGGCGTAGATGGAGTCAGGGGAAGATCAGTATCCCTTGTAGTAGCAAGCAAAGGCACAGAACGAGATGCGCTTGTGTTCATGTTAAGATATGGTTTATTAGCTTTGATGGTAGAAATAAATGTGGGAGTATTAAGCTTTTCAGATGTTTCGGTAGAAGGTGAAGAAGTTCCTGGTGATTGAGGTGAATCTAACGGACTTTGAGTAATAGGTTGTTTGTTGACATGATTATCGGATAGAGAATCTTGATTAACTGGGACAGATTGGTTACTAGTTTGTGGTTGACACTGAAGTTGTAATTGTTGTATTGTTGGATGTTTATAACGTTTGTTATTTCGTGATGGCAAAGAAGAAAACCGAGGAGGAATAGATGCTACATTATTTTATTAAGGCACAAAATTAAATTCATAATGAATTATTTAAAAGCTTACATACAAAATTTTAATCTTACCCTTTTTGAAAATTTCTATAGAGGTACGTTCTTTCTTTGGTTTATTTTCATTTTGTTGTTTGTCTTTATTTTTATTGTTATCGGAAGGATTTACAACATCAGTTCCGTCCTTAGAATTACGATTTTTATCATCAGATCGCTTTTTTTGGCTAGGGCATCGGTCTGAAGATGAAGTTCGAAATTGTCGCTGTCGATCTTGTGAAGATTGATGCTGATGTTTAAGTTCTTTGTGCTGTTTCTTATCATTCTTTGCGAAAAATGACGGAAGATCCATAAATGTACGACGGCGAGAGTTGGATGAAGAAGTTGAACCAATATTATTATTATTATTTGTAGCAACATCAATATCTTTTTTAGGTATATCTTTATCAACATTGCTATTCTTAGTAGTTTGCTTTATATTATTATCTTTATTATTCACATCTAAATTATCTATATGATTCTTTCCTCTTACACGAAGAGAAGAAAATTTAGGAGTAATTGGAGGAGAACTTAGAGGTGATGGTGAACTTGAATTTGAAGTCGATGAATTAATTTGTGTAGCACCATCTTGTTTAATATTACTTAAACTAAATACTCTCCTTAAACGTTTCGTAAAAGAAGTAGATTGTTCTTTATACATAGATTTTCGAAGATCATTTGTATTATTGAAAGATGGTTGATTATATGATTGTTGTCCTGTTGAATTCTGAGGGTTTTGCGCAACATTAGCAGTAGGTATAACAATATTTGAGTCAGTATCGTCATTTGTAACTTTGTTAGGTTGAGAGAGTTCTTTAGAAAGTTTTTGATCAAGATTTTTAGGAGACGTTAATTCCAAACTCTGATTTGCAGGAGATGGAATAGATGATTTATTGTTTTGGTCAGGAGTAGATGATTTATTGTTTTGGTCAGGAGTAGAAGATTTCTTTTCTAAGACTTTTTGATCTTGTTGAACTTTCTTAGTAGATTCACCAACCTTTTGTTTTTGATCTAATTTACTAGAAGACTGCTTTTGATCAGTATGTTGCGATGACTTTTCTTGACCTGTGAGCTGTGATGGCCTTTGTGATTGAATATACAATTGTTCAGAACCTTGTATTGATTTAGGAGATTTAGAAATTGGAGAAGATTTTTCACCCTGTTGAGGTGAAATTGGTTGTTTATCAACTTTCTGCAGTGTAGTTATTGGTAATTGAGAATTAAAACTTTGCGATGATTTGAATTTTCTGGAATTTTCACTAAAACTACTAAAACTAGAAGCCCTTTTTTTTTCTAAACGACTTTGTGAAAAAGACTGTTTACATCCATTACGATTTTGTGAAGGCGACTGTTGCTGTAAATTAGATGAAGGATCACCGCAATACATACTGTGACGATGAGAACCCATATTAGCGTTGTTACGTACATTTCCTTGTGATAGGAAACGTTGGGAATTCCCAGAAGCATTTTGAAGTGACACAGTTGTCTCAAAAGTAGGAAGGCGAGAAGATTTTGGCGAATGTGAAGGTAAAAATTTTTTTGCTAATGAAACACTTTCGTCATCATATCCTAAGGAATTCAATTTTGACACATTTTGTTCGCTTTGGTAATTCACTACAGATACGGCCATTTATGAATGCCGGTGAAGGACGAAGGAAATGTTACACTACCAATAGAAATATTCTAAATGAAAGCTTTTAGAAAATTTATTTGTTAGAATTTCAAATTTATACGCACAATAGAGAAGACATGAAAAAGTAGAATAATTCTAACCTCAAACTTGACCAAAACATGCACAATCTTTAGTTTAACTTCTTACTTAAAATTGGTTAAGAATCACCTTAAACGTTTCGAGACAAACTAATAATGGTTTATTATACTAAAATTCTATTATTACATTAAAAATTTAAAGAATATCAACTAAAATCAAGTGGAGCCAGCTCGTTACTTCAACTTTGGTCAACAACGCATCTATGAGCGTATGGTAAGTGATTAAAATAATGCTTAAGAATTGTGATGACAAAAGGTTGAAGGTTTTTAAAAAAGTAAAAAAGAATATGACTAAAGTAAAGAGGAAGAAAGAAAGCGAAGAAAGAGAAGACACGAATCCTTGTCGTTATTAATACATTTATTTGTATCTTGTCTCTCCGTCACCGCAATAATAATGCACAATGTTTAACACACATTTTTGAGGTATCACTAATACCGAAAAAACATTGTGGCGTTAGTACGTACTCAAAATAATGACAAAGTTGAATTCATATAGCAATCTAAATTTTAAAGATAAAGTTGCATTATCCTGTACGTAACATACTATGTATTGAAAGCTGTAAGCTCTTAAGGTAAAATTGACTTTTTTTACGTACGTACGTAAGTACTTACGTAGGTTTTGTTATAAAAAAGATCTACAGAAATTACAGAAATTCAAAGTACGTATGTATATTTAGACAGTATATTTAGACATAATTAATTTCTATATATATATATTATAAATAAAAGATAACTAAGATTTTTTAAGAATAGATACCGATACAACAAATAATAAATTGCGCAAGTGTAACTTGCATATTTCACGTGGTTGTAGATTTTAGGTGATAACAGATACGTAATTGACTATAAAAAGTTCATACGTATATATATACTAGGAACCGGAAACCGGTTTAAGTCCGGAGAACAGGTGGGACCGTCGATGTTACACAAAATTGTTACACAATTGAAAGAAGGTTTTTTTTATATTGTTTTACAATACTTTTTTAGGAAGCCGGTGTGGCTTACCTATTTTATGAAACGTGATTAATTCAT